TAGCTCAATAACTGAATTATAAAATGGCCACATTGCTTGAATCTGACAATTACCTAATAAATTAATTTAATTTATTAAATTAATGACAATGAAATTAGTTTAATTGATTATGATTCAATAAATTCAAATTCTGAAGTGCTGCAGACCGTTACAGAGGAATTAGTATTCTTAATGTTACAATTTGTTTACTCTTTTGATGTTTAATTTTTGAGTTAAAGTTCTAAGGACTTAATGGCTGAAGTGGGACATTGCTGCGTGGAAATTGTCTGCCACGTTTGCCTACAGAATACAGTCACTGCATTTGGCAGTAAATCCTGCGAAGCATTTTGAAACATCTTCCTGACATAACAGCTTCTATGTCAAATTCTAGGATTATTAATTTTATATAACTACCACCACCAACAACTTGAATTTATATAGCACCTTTCACATAGGGTAATGTCTTGGAGCATTTACAAAGACAGACTTGAACAGCCAGCAAGGGAGAGGAGGGAAATGGGAGATGGGCTTAAACACAGTCAAGAGATAAGAAGAGAAGGGCTGTGACAGAGTGATAAAGGCACAGAATCTACAGGCTCAGCCACCGATCCAGGATGAGAGACACGCAGCAAGCTTGAGTTTCCCAAGTAGTGATTGGCGAGCAGGGACCATTGATCTGCTGCGAGACAGGAAACCAATGGAGCTTGGTGAGAACTGGGGTAACGTGCGTCCAGAGTTTGGTATGGGTGAGGAAGTGGGTAAGTTGGAAGCTATAGGTGGTGGAACTAGGGAGACCAGCAAGGAGACGACTGAACTGAAGGGTTTTTATATTTATATTTTTCAAACAGTTGCAGCATTATTGTATAGATTCCTAGTTGAAGAATCAAATCTCAGAGCATTTTTATGCTTTTATCTTGAGGAAATAAATGTATCTCATGTGTGGCTGAATCTCATATTATCTTATTCATTTAATGCTTGTTTGTGGCACATTGCTACGCACAAATTGGCAGTCTTGTTTGTCTACAAATACAAGTACCAAAGCTTACAATAAAATCCTGTGAAGAACTTTGAGATATCCTACTAACTATATCAAAGGGAAGGATTATTATTCTTGAAAACAATGGGAATGTAAGAGTTTATTCAAAAGTAAATCAATTGACTGAGAGGGAGAAGAGATTTATTGGGTATTGGTGAGGGGATTCGGAGGGTAGAGTGTAAGCAGAGCCTAAATTGATTAGTTGGACTGAATGGCCTGTTTCTATACTGTAAAGTTCTATATAATTCATATTAATAGGCCCCACCCCCAGCTCAGGCTCTCACTCAGTTGCATGAAGTGCTTTAAGGTGTCCTCTCAACATGCAATGTAAAATTGCTGTGCTGTACACTGTATACTCTTCCTAATGTTGGCCCTTGACGTGCAAGAGATATTTTGTTGAGGGCAAAGATCAAGCTATCACTTCTATTTCCCCACTGTGGGAGTAATTTTATTATTTACTCTATATCATTTAGTTAGCCACAGATGCTGATACAAGTCTCCACTTTCTTCATGCACGAGGAAAATAGAATTGTTTTGTCAAATATCCTTCTCCAGGAATTTCTGAGTTCATCTGTACAATCCAATCCCAGGGGGAAGTGCCCCAGTTAAGCACATGTTTGTGGTTTATAATTCTTGACTGCCCGAGCATCTGGTTCACATAGGGACTGCACCTCTCAGGTCTTATTTCTCCTGAGGTCCTGGACAAACAGTAACCTAAGCACTTTGTTTTTGTAAAACAGCTGACGTATGTGTCGCTCAGGGACACACTTCCAATTCCTGTTCTTTTCTACATCACTTCTTTCATGTAAGAGACAAAACAATTTTATCTTTCAGAGATCTCAGAATGAATATATGTTTTCGAGTTAAACTAACAATCAATGGTTTGCCCTCTTCTGCCTTGTCTGTCTTATATTGCAAACTAAAAAATTCTCAAGCTGAATTGCCTCTGCCACGAGTATCCAAGGGCCAGAGGCCAGTAAACCATGCATTGTCTTTTACTTGTAATGGTCTTCGCTGTGTTAACTGAGGTCTTGTAACTTGAACAAAATAATTGCTACAAAGTAAATGCAGTAAAATATCATGACATTTTTGGTTGCATGTCTTACAAAATTTGAAGGTACCCTTTCGTCACAGTTTACCTGCAAGTACACAGTCACTATACTTCACAGCTGAATCCTGTGAAGCGTTTTGAGACACATGGATGATGTGATTAGACTCTATCAAACGCAATGGTTATTTATTGTTAAGATTTAACAAAAATAAAACATTCCAAAATTTTGATGTAATAATTCACCCATGATTGAAAAATGTCATCAATGTGGCCAATCAATAACTGAAAGCATAAACTTGTGCCAGTTCTTAGGATACCAGCTTTATTCATAAAATGAATCAATATATTTTGTATCTCATGACTTTTGCTAACAAAATGATAAGAGTGTTCCAATTCCCATCACTTACATTCCTCATTTTTATGAAAACACCATTCATGAAAAGAATGGCAGTGATGATTAAGGGCAGCTAAATGCAGGAATAAAGTGAACATTTGCAAGGAGTATTAATTAGGTATAAAAATCATATAGTAACAGATTCCTAATACAATATAGACAGTTGAAGTACATTTAGATGAATTATGGAAGAGTAATTTTGATAGGTATTATGCAAGTACTGTATAGATAATTATGAACACTCCATATTACACTACATGTCATGAACATGCTTATATTTAAAGAATTAATATTTACACTGATATTTATAGTGTTGACGCAGTACTTATATTAACTTCTGTCTCTTTTCACGAAAATGGAATACTTCTCCTGCAGCGCTTTGCTTTGGTGTCCTGAACCTATTTTCTATGAATACAATATACTAATTATGATAATTGCAGTTTATAGTTATCACCACAGGGAAAACCATGTCATGATTTACACAGATTGTGTGAAGAGAGGGTTCTGTATCTCCTGGAGTTTAATCCTCAATTTGGTTATTAAACTGTTTCCTAATGTTAGTTAATCATGTATTCCCAAGAGATTTCAAATGGCTTTTATAATTCTGTGTGTTCTTGAATGTTTTCTTAATCATTAAAGACAATGGATTCAATGTATTTTCTTTGCTGTGCAGAATGGTTATTGCAACCCTGCAGTGATTAATAGCAGTTCATATCCAAGTAGCACATCCATGTAGAACAACAAGTGGGTCATAGACTGTTACTGTTGATTAGTGAGGTACTCAAAGCAACTAAGGAGTGAAACATTGCATTAATAAGACATTGTTCTCTGGCCTCACAAAATAAACCAAAATCTTATGGTCAGTTCCAGTTGTAGAGTATACTGAATAAATATGATTTACAGTTAATACTGTTTAGATACTTTACAGTAAATCCTAAGATTTTGACGATGTGATGAGGGGCCACATAAGTGCAAGAATTATTATAAATATCATACAAAATTAGAATTTTGTTCTTGAATTATAAGTGAAATCATACCTTCGGTTTTAGATTAGCAGAATAAATCCTCAGTTGCTTTCCAACTCCAATCAACCTCATATATTTCCCCCTTTAGTTTTGTCAAATACTACTTTCCACGTTAATAATGCATTAACCTTTTGAACTATTTTCAATTGTTGAATTAGATGAATGCCAAATTAGTTCAAAAAAGACAAATGCACTTTCATGGATAGTGTAAGTTAATAACTCAGCACTGAACCTCCTTTGCAAACTTTCCCTTACTGCAGTCTCTCTGAAGAGTTTCACGTGAGTATTATTATTTTAATGGAGCATCAGAAACCAAATGCTGATTGGCTGCATCCTCTTCATAGATCAATAAAATCAATTTAATGTTGTAGATGTGAATATTTCAAGAGTTAACTGGAGTTTGTTAGAAAACATAGGGAATGTTAACAACTTTGTTATTTTGAAAGCAAGTTAATGCAGTCTTATGTTGAAAGGAGAACCCGATCTTGACATGGACATGGGTCCATAAAATCAGTTATTATCCAGTCATAATGTATTAAAAAGAATTGTAAGAAAATGCATATGCGTAGTTTATTCAACATAATAATATTTTAAATCCATTTCATAGCTGTAGGGACCATCTTTAAAACATTTGATTAGGTTTATATCTCTAAAAACCCTGGGAGTTTAGACAATAACAAGACTCCACTTACACTATACTATTAACATACTGATGGCTGTCACCTCCTAAAAGTCATACTGGCCTGGACTACTTTGGCTGAATGGCCTGTTTTGGTCCAGTAGATTATTTGTAATTTTATGTAAAGATTCTAAACATTGGGCGGTTGTAAAGCTTCTTCATGTTCTTAGCCCCAAGATCATATGTTAAAATAATAACATCTGAATTTAAGAGTTGTCCAAAACTTGCATGCTGCGAAGTACTATGAAAAAAGTCTGAATCTAGACAGAGTTGAATTTCTTCCCCTTGGCCTGAAAATATTGAGATGAGCTAACTTACTTGGAATTGAACCTGGAACCTTATCGTTTAATATTACACTAAAAGAACCTCTACCCACACAGCCACTAAGGAGCTGGTGAAGTAGTTTGTATGGTAAATCATACTTCAGCAGTCACTAATTCAATGCATTCCTTTACATTCCATAATTTTCAAAATAGGATAAAGTTTGTTTCTCTAAAACTAGAACAAAAAGCTTAGTCTAAATATTTTGCAAAATCTGACACCTAATGCAAAGGCCAAGAATGATTTTGCTAAAGATTAGCGTTCGATTTGGAGGTACACTTGCTTCATATTTGAGTCTTTTCCAATATCTTATTGAAGAATGTGCATGATGATGTTTTTTCATTCACAAACAAGTAATATTGAAGTATTATGCAAATAATGTTTATTACTATAATCTTACAAAGTGATGTTGGAGGTAATTCTGTTGACTTTATACATTTGTATATAATCAATTTTACTGGCTTGTTATTTAACCTGGTATTTTTTTTTCTTGTTTGTGATGCTTGCCCTTACAGGAGGTTGAGGTTTGTATTAATTTTCAATCGTGCATTTATTGCAATTTGTTTGATTCATATATAAGTCATGAATTTCTTTGGGCATGTGAAATACCATAATCATTAAACACTGTATGCCTTGTTTAATTTTCTTTTAGGACGATTATTTCAGGAGCTGGAACACTGGCAGGCATTTGAACCAAGGTACATTTTCCATTGAATTCCATGAATAAATTCCACTTATCTAAAGACATTTTTTAAACAGCAATGAACCTTGTATTTTGCAGTCCTATCATTGTAAAATACATGTGGACTGTAAGTTGCATTGCCATGAACATAGCTACATGAGCTTTATGCACGGTTCAAGAAAAATAGTTAACATTGACGAGTGAGGTACAGAGCTATAATGTAGCTAAAAGCTGACAATGTTATGAAATTTCTTACCACTTACTCCTTTTTTGTTTCTCGCTAGGTATTTGATGTTTTTGCCTTTGTTAGGTTCATGCATTTTGATAGCACAATAGGAATGTGTGAAGAAACTGCCAGTGAAAAGCAATTTATAAAAAATTGATTAATGTTTGCACCATTGTGGTTCAAATCAATAATTTCTTGCTTTGAGCTCATGTTTTTGCCCCCATTGAATTGCGTAGCATTGATGCAAATATTTGCCAAAGGCAAAGAGTACTGGAGAAGGTTAAATTGGCTAGAGGAATTCAGATAAAATCAGGGGATAGTGCATAGGTGGCAGTTGAAAATATTCTTTGAGAGGTGGGGGGAGTAAAATTCAGTTTAAAGCTTTGGTGTCCTTTAAGACTGGTGAGCCATTGGTTCGACTGATAGATCCATTGGCCAGCCAGAGGTGAGAATGCCCCGATGAACGCACTCCAGACCAGAAGTGGGTGGGCACCGATGAGGAGTTGAGAGAGGACTAAGAGCTGGGCCGTGGGTGCCACGATTTGGGGCTGCTCGGAGGACTGGCTGTGGTCGTCCTCAGGAAATTCCCCTCCCAGCTCCCCTCAAAGAGCTGAACTGTAGGTACCTTAGGCAAGTTTCCTTACTCCAAGACCTCTGTTTAGTTAGCAGTAATTAGGAAACTCTCGTTAGTCGATTGGTGGATCGCTTTCTGGGGGTAATAATCCCTTCAAAATAATAAATAATAATGATTTGATCACTCAATCCATGACTGTTTGTGGGACACAGCCGTGTGCAATTGGCTGCTGTGTGTCTCCCACAAAATATATGATCAATTCACTTTACAGTATAAACAAAATGCAAAATACTGCAGATGCTGGAAATCTGAAACAAAAACAGAAGTCGCTGGGAACACTCAGCGGGTCAGGCAGCATAAATGGAGAGAGGAAAGTGAGTCAACGTTTCGGGTCCACAACCCTTCGTCAGAACATAGTCCTGACAAATTTTAGTTCTGACGAAGGGTTGGTTGTGGACCCGAAACGTTGACTCACTTTCCTTTCTCCATAGATGCTGTCTGACCCGCTGATTATTCCCAGAAACTTCTGGTTTTGTTTCACTTTGCAGTACATTCTGTGAGGTGGTTTGAGACGCCTCAGCAGCATGATAATGCACCTAGATTTGTATAGCGCCTTTCACGTCGGGAGGACGTCACAAGGTGCTGGACAGTGTACAGCATTTCAATGCACTATAACAAATACAAGGATTATTATTATTTATTTGGCTGAACCCCCTCTAGCCCTAGCTACCCACTGTTTATGGGGTGGGGTGGAACATTAAATTCAAGGAAATGTTATAAGTTTTCAGTATGCGTATACCTGGTCGTAAATTCATTTGGGAATTTCAAACATCCCTTTGGAAACATCAGAAATAAAAAGGGAAAGAAAAATCTATGAATACTAGAAATCTGAAATTAAAATAGAAAACTCTGGGAAGTGCACAGTGGGTAAATTAATATGTGAAAGACAAAACATTTAACATTTTGATGCATACCCTAATCACAACTGGAGGAAAGGTCACACCTTGGTTTTGGTGCTGTACCTCAATATTTGTTGTGTTTATTTCGAAAATGCTACATTGATTTCTAAGACTGCTGCAAATCTGGTTAACAAAATAAATATTTTATCACATTCCTGGAAGATGGTATTCTGTTTACAGTTTCTTGGTTTACAGAGTTGCATTTATTTATGCAGTGACTGTTGTTCATTTGTTTGATGAAGACCTATTGGATGTTGGGATACACACTATTTTATTTTGTGTTTTATTGAATTTAATAAGAACATAAGAGCATAAGAATTAGGAGCAGGAGTAGGCCATTCGGCCCTTCGTGCCTGCTCTGCCATTCAATAAGATCATGGCTGATCTTCTCACCTAACTCTGATTACCTGCCCTATCCCGATATCCCCTAATCCCTCTATTTTTCAAGAATCTATCAGTCTCAGCCTTGAAAATGTTCAAGGACTGATCATCTACATCCTTCTGGGGTAGTGAATTCCATAAGTTCACTACCCTCTGAGTGAAGAAATGTTTCCTCAACTCTGTTCTAAGAAGCTGACCCTTAATTTTCAGACTGTGACTCATGGTTATAGATTCTCCTACCAGGGGAAACAGTCCCTCGGTGTCTACTTTATCAGCCCTTAAAGAATCTTATAAGTTTCAATAAGATCTCCCCTAATTCTTCTGTACTCTAGAGAATACAGCCCTAGTTTATTCAGCCTATCCTCATAGGTCAGTCCTCTCATCCCAGGAACTAACCGAGTGAATCTACGCTGCACCCCCTCCAGGGCAAGTATGTCCTTTTTTAAATAAGGAGACCAAACGTGCACACAATACTCTAGGTGCGGTCTCACCAAAGCCCTATACAGTTGCAGCAAGACTTCCCTACTCTTATATTCTAAACCTTTCGAAATGAACGCTAACATGCCATTCGCCTTCTTAGTTGCTTGCTGCACCTGCAAACTAACTTTTTGGGACTGGTGTACAAGGACACCCAAATCCCTTTGAATACTAACACTATCTGACTTCTCCCCTTCCAGAAAATAATCTGTTCTTTTATTCTTGCTACTTAGGTGAATAATTTCACACTTGCTAACATTGAATTCCATCTGCCACCTACTCGCCCACTCCCCTAGCCTATCTATATCTTGTTGCAATCTTTTTGCATCATCTTGAGAGCTCACTCTGCTACCTAGTTTAGTATCATCCGCGAATTTAGACACATTACATTCAATGTCCTCGTCCAGATCATTGATGTAAATGGTAAATAGCTGAGGCCCAAGCACTGATCCTTGTGGCACTCCACTAGTCACATCCTGCCAGTTCGAGAATGATCCGTTTATCACTACTCTCTGCTTTCTACCCGATAGCCACTCTTCTATCTTTTGTAAAGCCATGTTGACTCTGCCTAATCTTTTTATGGTCTTCCAGGTATCCCATAACTACATCTTTTATTAAGGACTCAAGAATTTTCCCTACAACTGACGTCAAACTAACTGGTCTATAATTTTCCCTATTTTCTCTCCCACCCTTCTTAAATAGTGGAGTTACGTTTGCAATCTTCCAATCAATGGGAACTTTTCCAGTATCCACAGACTTTTGGAAGATTATAGACATGCCATCCACTATCTCAGTAGCCACCTCCTTTAAAACTCTCGGATGCAGGCCATCCGGTCCAGGGGATTTATCGGTTTTAAGACCCGACAATTTACCTAGAACCATCTCTTTACCAATGTTAATCTCCCTAAGTTGCTCGCTAACATTGTCTTCTTGGTCCTCTATTTTTGGTATGTTTCCAGTGTCTTATACTTGTTTAATGACTCTGCCATGTCTTTGTCCCCTATCATAATTCCTCTGGTCTCTGCCTGTAATGGACCCACATTCACCCTCGCTAGCCTCTTCCTCTTTATATATTTGTAAAAACTCTTGGAGTCTGTTTTTATGTTCTTTGCTAGTTTGCCCTCGTAATCTATTTTCTCCCTCTTGATCAATTTTTTGGTCCTCCTCTGTTGTTCCCTAAAGTTCTCCCAATCCTCGGGTTTACTACTCATCTTCGCTGTTTTATAGGCTTTTTCTTTTGATTTGATACTTTCCCTAACTGCTCTAGTTAGCCATGGCTGCACCACCTTTCCCATGGCATTCTTATTCCTCAAAGGAATATGTGCTCGTTGGGAATTTTGCACTATCTCCTTGAATGTCTGCCATTGCTGGTCTACCGTCAAATCTTTAAGTTTAGTCTCCCAGTTTATTCTGGCTAAATCCTCTCTCATACCAGCAAAGTTGGCTCGATTTAAATTGAAGACTTTTGCTTCAGACTTAACTACTTCCCTCTCTAACTTAACGCTAAATTCCATCATATTATGATCGCTTTGCCCTCGAGGAGCCTTAAGTTCCAGTTTGCTGATCAGCCCTGTTTCATTACACAAAACAAGGTCTAATATGGCTTGTTCCCTGGTCGGCTCCTCAGCATATTGATCTAGAAAATTATCTCTAATACATTCTATAAACTCCTCTTCTATGTTACCTTTCCCAATTTGGTTGTCCCAGTCTATGTGCAGGTTAAAATCACCCACAATTAGTGTCTTTCCTTTGCTACATGCTCCACTAATCTCTTGATTTATACCTTGAGCGATACTTTGACCACTGTTTGGGGGTCTATAAACTACTCCCACTATAGTTTTCTGCCCCTTGAAGTTACGTATCTCTACCCATACTGACTCTACATCTTGCTTTTCAGATTTAAAATCTTTCCTCTCTACTGTTTTTATCCCATCCTTTATTAGCAGGGCCACTCCCCCTCCTCGTTTACCACATCGCCTATCTTTCCTATATACCACGTAGCCGGGAATATTCAGTTCCCATCCCTGATCACCCTGTAACCATGTCTCGGTGATGGCTACTAGATCATACCGGTTTGTCTCTATTTGTGCAACTAATTCATCTATCTTGTTACGAATGCTTCGTGCATTCAGATATAGCGCCCTTAATTCTGACCTCCGGCTATTAACCCTATTCACCAGCACTCTATCACTGTACTTCCTTTCGCTGCTTGACACACTTTGCTCTTCTCTATTGTTAATCTGCTCTCTTGCTTTTGTTGATCTCAAGTTTAACTGTGGTGGACTATACTTTACTATGTTTTTACCTCCTCCCCCTTAGTAATTTAAAGCCCTTTCTACCTCCCTATTTATTCGTGTAGCCAGGACATTTGTCCCAGCCCTATGTAGGTGGAGCCCATT